GTGGAGGCAGCGTTTCAGATCCATGCAGCCACAATCTGGATCAGTTCCTGAAAATGTGAGACAGGCTTCTTCTCTGACTGTTCAAATCTAGGTAAAAAACAGCTCTAGGAATGAAGGTCGTAGGTTCAAATCCACCTCGAGACCTACTTCATGACTCCCACTGATGTCTGCTGTCGTTGTGTCCTTGGGCAAGACACTTAACCCCACTTTGCCTGAAACCCCCACTGAAAGATCTCAGCTCCTGTGGACTCACCAGCTGCAGGAGGATCAGTGAGGGGCTGGTGCTCTGTGTACTGAGTGCAGCTCTGACTGCCACCCCCCCGACCCAGAAATGGATTAAGGGGAAGAAGATGGATGGATTTTGAGTATTTCCATCTTGTTTTATTCATTACTTTGAGTTGCCTTGTGTATAAACTGTGCCATACACATAAATCTGCCTTTTCATTGGTCATAAAAGACATACTGTATAGATAGATACTTTATTGGTATCTAGGCTCATCCGGGTCTAACAAACTAATGGACAAAGACAGACCAGAGTCCACAGAGAGTCCCCAAATGGGTGAGTGTCTTGGAGAATTGTTTTTGCTTAAATCCTAGAAACGAAGTATTGTAAAAAACGGTTAAAATTGATGGAAATGACCAGAAAAATGCATACGTCGAAGGTGTACTTTTGTCTTTGTTCTTGCAGGTGGATTTCACGCAGACTGTCAGGAGCCCACTCAGTCCTGTACGTGTGACTCGAGGGTCTGGAGGTCTGCGTCAGTGAGAACACCTCTCAGGCCTGAAGAGCCCGAGCCACTCACTCTCAGACACCACTTTCCCGGCAATAATGAAGTAAGAAGAAGTTAAAGACATCAGGACACACTTGTATTGTGTGTCTGTGTGTCTGTGTGTGTGTGTGTGATTTTATTTAAGATATAAGATTGTTAATGGGTGGCTTCATATGTGTTTCATAAGTGTATATTTGTTTACATAGACTGTATAAGCGATTTCTCATGGCTAAAAATAAGGCATAATATATCTTCTCTAAATTCCAATTGAGACTTTTGAACATTAAATAGAGATTCATTTATAGCTAAGTGCAAAAGACTGTATTTTTCTAAATCCACAGAGTTTAGTTTGTATTTAACAAAAACATAACATCTGCTAAATAGTGACTGTTTATGACACCGTGGGACATTGTTCTCGACATAAAACTACATTTAAAAAAGTTATTTTTATTAATCCCCGTTGGAGAAATGACAATGTCCAGCAGCAGCAGCACATCCATCCGTACAGACGTCAATATTCATAGTTCTAAAAGTTGCTAATAATAGTAATAACTTGTGTTTAGTTCAGACCGAAGGAACAATACAATATTCAGTCCTGCCATATGGATCTTTGCTCTGCCCCCTGGTGAAATCTAGGGCCCTGCAGGCTCAGCTCAGACCACAAATGAGATGAGTTTGTTTTTCCCATTTGAGTAAAGCCTCCAGACAGATCATTTGTACATTGCAGATTCAGAAAAAAAGTTGTTGTATTAAAAAGTGATATTTTTTTATATAGCGCCCCCCCCCAGAGATGAGAGCGGCGTACAGGAGGCTCATGCAGGACCTGTCACACATGTACTTAGCGGTAGGATAAAACCGGAGCACACGGAGGTAATCTACGCAAACGCAGGGAGAACATGCAAAATCCATAGAAGGTGGAATCAAACCAAAGTGCTGAGTAAGTATGTAATGTTTATCTATATAGCGCATTTTACAGACCAAGGTACAGACCCAAAGCTCTTTACACGGTGATGACAGAAGCGAGTCCAGAACACACTGGACCATCAAAGCCTCTGACCCAACACCATCATTCACTCTCTCATTTACATTCATACATATTGTGCATGTTTTTAGTGGTAGGGGAAACCGGAGCACCCGGAGGAAACCTATGCAGACCCGGGGAGAACATGCAAACTCCACTCAGAAAGGCCCTGTTCCAACCGGGATACGAACCCAGGACCTTCTTGCTGAGAGGCGAGAGTGCTAACCACTCAGCCACTGTGCCGTGCTAACCACTGCACCACTGTGTAATTTGACCATGTTGCAGAGACCTTTGTTGGCTTGTCCAAAGAGGAAAAAGGAGGATAAAACTGAAATTTGCATGCGACCCTCTAAAAACACACTCCATCCATCCATCCATCCATCTATTTTCTTCCGCTTCATCCGTTGCCGGGTCGCGGGGGCAGCAGTCTAAGCAGAGACGCCCAGACTTCCCTATCCACACACACCTCCTCCAGCTCGTCCGGGGGGACCCCAAGGCGTTCCCAGGCCAGCTGAGAGACATAGTCCCTCCAGCGTGTCCTAGGTCTTCCCTGGGGCCTCCTCCCAGTGGGACGTGTCCGGAACACCTCCCCAGGGAAAAACACACTGACAGGATAAATATGGAACAAAACCAACCGCTCACACCATCATTGGTTCTCATCCACATAAACCACAGAATCCAGTTCAGAATCCTCCTTCTCACAAATCTCTCTAATATTGGTATTTTATTCAGTATTTTTAATATTGTGTGCGATGTCTGACTGTTTATACCGGTATACATTATTAAATACAAATAATTTGGACTTACATTCAATAACATGTAAAGACATCTACAACACGGTGAGAATAAGTGAGATTAATTTAGTGAGAACATTGCTTTTCTCACTAAACCAGAGCAAAAATACACCCACCACATCTCTCCCCTGGTCTGAAGCAGTTTCCATTACTATGTGGACTCGTAAACACCCGCTGTACTATTCACCCGTGTGTTTACGACTGGAGTAAAAAACCGTGCCCTGACCTCCGCTGGACCCTTGGAGCCGAATCGGTTTCTCTGCACTTTCCACACAGAGCGAACAGAATCTCTGGCTTTGAAAATGGTGGAGAGAGCAATCATTTCACCAAAAAACAACCACATTTATCCCTTTTACGTCTTTTTACTTCAGCAAAATTAAGTCAGACAAGAGTCAGAAAGAACCGGACCAGTTTTGTGTCTCGCAGAAAACGGGAGTTCACAAACGTTCAAGTGCAGGAGACCTCGAGTGAAAAGAAGATTGCATGAAGGAAGTATTTGCCGACTGGAGTGAAAGATTCTGCTTATTTCTGACTTTTTTTTAAACTATCTTTTTTCAACCCAAAGTGGACCTCTGCCTTGACCCTATTTTTATATTTCTTACGACAAGGTTTCTTTATGCAGCAATGATTCAAAGCTTTCAGAGACCTCCGACTTTTACAGAATAATCTGAAAAATATATACAGTATTAAACATTCATGGTATTTACAACAAAATACAGATATTTGTTAAGGTTTTACATTTCACTTATTAAGGTTTTAAAAGAAGAAATATTATGCGTTATTTTGGATTTTAGACTTTGCCATTTCTAATCTTAAGTAGAAAATACATGCTGATAGTTATGAAGGGTAAAAAAGGCTTCCCGCCTGTAACTCCCACTGCTGCCACCAGGGGGAGGAGTAGAATAGCTTTTCCCCAAATTCAAAAATGGCCGGCTTCAATTACAGACGTGTGATTCTACAGAACCTCATTCCACCTCTGTGCCTTTCTGTGTGGAGTTTGCATGTTCTCCCCGTGTCTGGATAGGTTTCCTCCAGGTGCTCCGGTTTCCCCTACGTCTAAAAACCTGCCTCCTGTAGGTGACTTGTTCCCATCTCTTTGAGAGACAAAATGACTCTGGTCTGTGAAAGGCGCTGTATAAATAGAGATTACTGACTTATTGAACAATTAGTACGTTATCTGGTGTTAGCATTAGCATAATTCCCCAAAGTTTTTATGAACTTGCTATTTTTACTGATTGCGCTTCATAGTTTTGTATGATTTGTGAAATGAGGAGAAGTTGTGACATTGAAAGTTTTTCTGATATCTGAGGAAAACAACGATTGAATTGTGAAAGTAATGTAATTGAATTTTCAGGGGCAATGTACTCCGTAAAAAATATGAAAGAACAGAATGGTCTTTTCTACATGGCAAAATAAAAATACTATTTCTTAACAGCACAATGCTCTGTGTTTCCGTTGTTTGCAAACCACTTTTATTTCTAATCAAAATAAACCGAAAGGGAAACAACATGAAGTGATATTTGTCTGTAAACACACGGCCTGCAGGGAAACTCAACAGAGACTTTTGGATTTTAGTTTTCGACCCATTTTGTTCAAATAAAACAAAGAATCAATGTGAAGATTAGAATTTAAGTCTGTAAAGAAAAAGTGTAGAAGGTGAATATAAACTAATGTTATATGAAAGTCAGTATTTGGTCAAAAATATCTCATTCTGAAACAACCACAGAAGAAAAGAATGAGCTAAAAACCCATTTTAAACAAAATATTGAACCAGAGAGAGACCAGTGAGAGACCAGAGAGAGACCAGAGAGAGACCAGAGAGAGAGACCAGAGAGAGACCAGAGAGAGAGACTAGAGAGAGACCAGAGAGAGACCAGAGAGAGAGACCAGTGAGAGACTTGAGAGGGAACAGAAAAAGAGACTAGAGCGAGACCAGAAAAAGAGACCAGAGAGAGACTTGAGAGGGACCAGATAGAGAGACTAGAGTGAGACCAGAGAGAGACTTGAGAGAGACCAGAGAGAGACCAGAGAGAGACTTGAAAGGGACCAGAGAGGGACCAGAGAGAGACCAGAGAGAGACCAGAGAGAGACTTTAGAGGGACCAGATAGAGAGACTAGAGTGAGACCAGAGAGAGACTTGAGAGGGACCAGAGAGAGACCAGAGAGAGACTTGAGAGGGACTGGGAGAGAGCAGAAAGAGCAGAGAGAGACCAGATAGAGACTAGAGAGAGACCAGAGAGAGACTTGAGAGGGACCAGAGAGAGACCAGAGAGAGAACAGAGAGAGAGACCATAGAGAGAACAGAGAAAGACACCAGAGAGAGACTAGTGAGAGTCCAAGGAAAGACCAGAGCCATTGATAGCAAGAAAATTCATCCGACTGTGTGACCCGCCCTAATCCCATCTTGTCTCTTACCCAGGAGCGTGATGATACATCCCAGGATCGCCATGAGCGCCCCAGTGCTGAGGCCGGTGGCGGTGTAAGCGATGGCGCCGCAGGACAGGGCCACGCCGTCGGAGTCGCACTCGCACACGCGCACGGACAGGGTGTTGGTGCTGCTCAGAGCCGGCGTACCGCTGTCCACGATCAGCACAGGGACACGGTACATCGGCTGCTCACGCCTCCGGAAACCACCGCGCCTCGTCACGATGGACGCCGTGTTGTCTGCAAGAAAGAGAAGAAGAGGAGGGAGGTTCAAGCTGCGTTACACTGCAGACAGTCAGAAAATAAGACAAAAATGGCTCAAATTTGGAAAAGTTAAAGGAGCAGTATGTAAAAATGTGGCCAAAAGTGGTACTGCAGCCTCTCCCGCTCTCCCTGACTCAGGTTGCCAGATATGCAGACGAATCCAGCTGGGACCATAACAGCTGAATAGACAAGAGTTTTGTCAACAACAAATCTATAACCAACACCTTTTTCAAAAAGATAGAAATCCTGGTTTTATTCCTTGTTTTGTCATTAATGATTTGAGAATCATAACGAGACCTTTTTTAGTTCTGCGCCACATGGTACTTTACCAGTGAGATTAGCTCAATGCGGTGAGTTCTGGTGCCCGGATCACAGACTTTCTGATTGGTGAAACGGTGGAGGGCGGGACATCGAAATGAAAGCGATAACAAGATTTAGATGCTGTAAAACTAAATATAAAATCAGGTAAAGAACTATTGGAAAAGAGAATGTTTTATTAAATTCTTTTGACAGATTAGGGCCCTTTACTTATGACTTAAATAATTCTACTTTCATTTGAGCACATTTTGACTGCCTTCAAACTAATTTTGCCAATAGGACAGAGCAAAATTAATCTTGTTTTAACGAGAAAATAAAGCATTTGAAATGTATTTGAATCAAAGGCTGAAGTATAATGAAACAATCTCATGATGTGATTGTGCCTCAGTTTTGCCTTTACGTAAGTTTTAAATCCTTGCATAAAGACTGTGGTATAATCCAACCCCTTCACATGAACAAATGTAAGATCCATATGTTTAACCCTTGTATTATGTTGAAAAAAAAAGACATTTATTATGTTGCGGGTCATTTTGACCCGTACTGTGTAAATGCATTCAAAACAGTCAAGAAAACAGGTTAAACCAATAACAACTTTATTTTAGGTTATATAAATATTTAGAAGTGACATACAATACATTTTTTATTCCAACAATATATTTAAGAAATATTTAGTCTAATCTTCTTGTCCTCCTCTCGGGTCAAAATGACAATTCTTCCCTCCCTCTTTCCTCCTGCCATGCTTTCTCCTTCCTTTTTCTCATCCTGTTTTCCTTCTCTCTGTTCATCCTCCTCTATTCCCTTCTTTTCTTTTCCTTCCTTCCTTCCTTTCTCCCTTCTTTCTTTCCTACCTTCCTTCCTTCCTCCCTTCCTCTTTACTTGGCCAAAGATCCGTCCTCTGAATTCTCCTTATCGTAGGAAAATTGACAATCTGGTTCAGCAATAACATTGTCCTGTATCGGAAAAATCCTCTGTTTCTGAAATCTCTTCCTCTACATCACTCTTCCTGTACATCACTATCCCAGTTAAAAATCTGTGATAAAGCCTCCTCAGATGTCATCCTTCTGGAGCTCATTTTTGGTGAGTTTGTCTAAAGCCTAGCGTTGCCTAACCAGTTGCAAGGCGGCTTTTGGCAACTGAGAGTAGATGATGGAGATGATCAGTTGCCGAAATCGGTCGATGTGAGCGCTCTTACAACTGGAGATAAACAGTCGATCTCCGGATTCAGTCAGGTGCCCGTGATCTACTTTTCGGCAACTAGTTGTCCTCAGATCCAGAGATATCACCCGATGTGCGCGCTCCGTGGTGCACTCCAACATGTGTGTATTGCGTGTATTGCGCCCTCTACAGTTTATGCAGAAAACACACTGTAGTTGAGGCCAGTTGCTGTCGATGTACACGCTGTTATTCCCGAGACTGGCCTGCTACTAGGAGTTGCCTGTTTTCGCCAGATTGTCGATGTGTACGGGGCAGCAACTCAAAGGCGACGGATATATTCAGTTGCCTGTACAATGCACGCTAGGCAAAAGAAATGACATGAGAACAGTGACAAGGACAAGTGTGAGAAAGTTCCCTCTCGTCACACACCTGCCTCTCAGAGGTAATCAAAATAAAATGTCAAAGAGACATGTTTTTTTGGATCTGAACAACTATTTACCCACATTAAAGCGTCAGGGTCAAAATGACCCGCAACATCATCTTTGTATACAAACTCTGCACAGACATTCCACTACACATCAAGGTGTCCAGATTTTACACACCAGTTCATGACCCTAGATGAGGAAAAGTCACCAAATTTCAGCAAGAAAAAGAAAGGATAACTAGTACTTCGATCAACACAAAAACTGAAATGGGTCAAATTGACCCTTAACATAATACAAGGGTTAATAAAACATTGTGTGCACATTAGAGGTCGTAGTATATGTCTCTGAAGCAGATTCATTGAGACTGCGTACGACATCAGGTCCAAAGAGGAACAAACTTTTCCTCTGACCAGTGTTTTTTTGTTATTCAGAGAGAAGCCCGCATCACAGTCCACTCCAGCAGAGCCTCGACCACTCAGACAATCCCACTCTGCAGCACAGACAGGGCCTCTTCACCGCAGACGACCAGAGAGAGAGAGACCCCAGAGCCACAGAGGAGGAGAGAAAAGAACCAAGGCCTGCACTCCAGTTTACTCAGAACTTTACTCACTCTATTTACTTTACTCACAGTGACCTCAAAAGTACCTTAGCTCAGTTCAATGGAGATAGATAGATACGTTATTGATCCCCGTAAGGAGAAATGCAGGTGTCCAGCAGCAGAAGACTCATCCAGGTGTTTGTGTATAGCCCTAAATCACAAAAGGACTGAGGCTGTAGACCCAGGACAGAGGCTGTAGATCCAGGGACTGAGGCTGTAGACCCAGGACAGAGGCTGTAGACCCAGGACAGAGGCTGTAGACCCAGGACTGAGGCTGTAGATCCAGGGACTGAGGCTGTAGATCCAGGACTGAGGCCGTAGACCCAGGACTGAAGCTGTAGACCCAGGACAGAGGTTGTAGACCCAGGACTGAGGCTGTAGACCCAAGACTGAGGCTGTAGACCCAGGACTGAGGCTGTAGACCCAGGACTGAGGCTGTAGATCCAGGACTGAGGCTGTAGATCCAGGACTGAGGCTGTACACCCAGGACTGAGGCTGTAGACCCAGGACTGAGGCTGTAGACCCAGGACTGAGGCTGTAGACCCAGGACTGAGGCTGTAGACCCAGGACTGAGGCTGTAGACCCAGGACTGAGGCTGTAGACCCAGGACAGATTCTGTGTGGTGCAGGACTGGAAAGGCTCCTTGTAAGTTCTTTCTAAATGGTTTAAATGAGATGTTTTGTAAAGTCCTCAGAGAGAGCTACTGTTGTGATTCAGGATTATCCAAAAATAAACGTAATTAAAATAAAACGTACAAAGATAGAACGGTCGGTCAGCGCACTCGGCTCATCTGAAAATATTGACCCGGCAGGTCTCCAGTCTCATGTTCATTTTCACATTTGTTTGGACGGAGCCGGAGCTGGAATCCCAATTAAACAAAAGGTTTATAAGAAAGAAACGGGAAAAAAACAACATCGGCAACTTCAAAGAGAGACCCAAAGTTACAAAACGGCAACTGGCAAATAAAACGTCCGGACTGTAGAGGTCGTTATGAGACATGAGGAAGAGCCACAGTTGTTATTCAAACAGAGGAGCGCGGACCAAGACGTGGTAGTGGGTTATAAACATAATTCTCTCTGTTCTCTCTCTGGTCTCTCTTTGTTCTCTCTCTCTCTCTTCTCTCTCTCTTTGGCCTCGCTCTCTCTCTTTACAGTCTCTCTCTGGCCTCTCTCTGATCCCTCTCTCTGGTTTCTTTTTGTCTCTCTCGTCTCTCTCTGATCTCTCGCTCATGGCCTCTCTCTGGCCTCTCCCTGTCTCTCTCTTTCTCTCTGGTCTCTCTCTCTCTGACCTCTCCTGGTCTCTCTCTCTGGTCTTTCTCTGGCTTCTCTCTATTCTCTCTCTGGTCTGTCTCTGATCTCTCTCTGGCCTCCATCTTTCTCTCCAGTCTCTCTCTGGCCTCTCTCTCTCTCTGGCCTCTCTCTCTGTTCTCTCTCTCTCTCTCTGTAAACAGTTATACATTTCCTCTCCCTCAGCCCACAGTGGCGTATGGCGTATGGCCTTGTGTGTGGCGTGAGCGATGGGATCCAGACAGACATGATTGATAACAAGTCTGAGATATGTATTTATACTTGAGGCTTAGAGCCATGAAGAGAACATTGCAGAGCTGTCAGTCAGAGAGTGTGCAAAACACCGATTGTCACTGTGGCTCGGTCCCCCATCACGGCTCTGACGGACGCTATCATTACCAACACACACGCACACATGCACACACGCACGCACACACACACACACACACACACACACACACACACACACACACACACACACACACACACACACACACACACACACACACACACACACACACACACACATACTGGTTTCCATTCTTGATGGGGACCAGGTTTCAAATCATCACATGTGGGGACCACCCTTTCTAGAGGTTCTAGAGTCATAAAAAAAAATTGAGTTACTTAACAAAACATTGTAAGCATATACACATCTTAAAATGTGTCAATTGATGAAATGATATTCTGGCAGTGTACTGTGGGGACCTATAAAAAAAAACGAGTCAATGTCACTTAGAAGGACCAGATTTGCATATTTTTTGCATAATTCTCACACACTTTTATAATTTACTCATGGGGACCCTTTGTAAATCTAATAAGTACAATGTTAAGGCCAAAGAATGCACAGACTGTCTTTGTAAATGTGCCTTTATTAACCAATTTTATATTTTTTATTGCTAGGATTGTGAACAGCTTATTTCTTGATGAAAGCACATTTTGCTTCAAATGCAGAGCAAAAAAATGTCTTTCGTCATATATTCTTTGTACACCATTTTTGTTGTATGCCTTAACAGCCATATTTGTAGTGGCCTGACTTGAACTGAGTTCAACTGCAGAAGATGTTTCAGCTGAAACACATCTTAGCATCTTGAATGAAGTTGTGAAGTCCCATTCAAGATTGTTTGCAGGGATAGAA